AATGCTTTCGCTCTGGGCTTCAATTAGTGTAGTTTCAAATAGCTTCCAACTTAGCATCCTCTATGGACTTGACTCTCTTGTGTCTCCCTTTCAGGTAGGTTCCTTCTAACTAGTCCCCTCATATTTTTTTAAGTTCCCTCTTTTGAAATCAAATGTTCCTTTTTTAGACTTGGGGTACCTTTCCACTGACATGAATGCTGAACTTAATAGTACTGTGGTCACTGCTCCCAGCTGGTGCTACAACACCTACGTTTAACCAGGTCTTCACACAGAACCAAGATCACTACCCCTCTGGCTGTATCCACAACCGGCTATTCCAGTGCACAGCCATTTATGGTGTCTAGGAATCTTATTTCATCAGCATGACTTGAGCACATGTATACTAAGAGCCAAAGTATGTGATATGTTTCTTCACTTGTTTTCCCATGTTCCCCCCAGCCACAAGAGTGGGACTATTCTAGTGGGTCCCTGAAGGTCTCATCCACATACCTCTCTCTCTCTCTTCCTGACCTTATCCATGCCGGCAACCCTAGCCTCAAGGGAATGGACCTGTTCCCTAAATCCCAAGAGGAACATGCATTGACTACACCATAGAGTTTTCCCTCGGATGACTGTGGCCCCGCCCCCTGCGTGCCCGGCATCATAACGTCACTTCCTGGTGATGCGCACGCCGGGGTGGGGTTCCCCCCGGGGCCTGGTCCGCCCCCGGTGGGGAACAGGCCTCTGGGGCGGGGGTTTCCCTGCCCCCTGGGGGGACTTGGCAAGCCTACTTCAAGATTGTCGTCCTGTATTGTCCAGCCTCCAACAGTTCAAGGTGAAATGTAAGCAAAGGTCTCACTACCATGAGGCAGAGTTGAAAATCAGATGGATAGTGAAGATGAGAGCATGTGAGGCTTAATATTAATCTGTAAATGTAAACATAAAACTTACAGTGGCTAAACTGTGCATATGGCTTTAAAATGGCTCCTTTTTGTATATGACACAAATAATACAAGAATGGTTCAGAGAAGGTCCAAGACATATTGGTGTCTGAGGCCCTGTAATGGTGGTTACAATTTAATAATAAGCTAAATAAAAACTTTTGTAGTCCTTTAATGATATCCCAAAATCTGGTGCTTGAGGCAGGTAACGTCATTCCGCTTAAGGCTATGCACAGAAAGCCACAAATGTGAGTGTTTTTAGTGTCACATATAAACTATCTGGGGCTGCGGTGGCTCAAGTGGTTAAGATGCTGAACTGCAGACTGGAAGATCGGTAGTTCAGCAGTTCGAGACCCGAGTGTGCCGCATGACGGAGTGAGCTCCCATCTCTGGTTCCAGCTCCTGCCAACCTAGCAGTTCGAAAGCAAGAAATTGCAAGTAGATAAATAGGTACAGCTTCGGTGGGAAGGTAACAGCGTTCCATGCGCCTCGGTGTTTAGTCATGCCGGCCACATGACCACGGAAACGTCTTTAGACGGCGCTGGTTCTTCGGCTTTGAAACGGAGATGAGCACCGCATCCCTAGAGTCGGATTCGACTGGCTTTCGAGCAAGGGAAACCTTTACCTTTTATATAAATTATCTGAATGTGGAAATGTCCTTAAAATACTGGGACAACAAATGCAGCACTATGGCCGGAGCGCTAAAAGAACTGTTTCACTAGTAGGGTTGCCAGACTCCAAGTGGGGCCTGGGGATCTCCTGCTTTTGCAACCGATCTCCAGCTGACAGAGATCAGCTCCCCTGGAGAAAATGGCTGCTTTGAAGGGTGGACTCTACGGCACTGTACCATGCTGAGGCCCCTCCCCTCCCTAAACCCCGCCCTCTCCTGGATCCACCCCCAAAGTCTCCAGGTATTTTCCAACCCAGAGCTGGCAACCCTATTAACAAGTAGCTTATACATAATCAATTTTAAAAGTCATGTTACAGTTATTTTTTATAGCAAGAAATTGCAAGTAGATAAATAGGTACCACTTTGGTGGGAAGGTAACAGCGTTCCGTGTGCCTTGGTGTTTAGTCATGCTGGCCACATGACCACAGAAACATCTTCGGACAGCGCTGGCTCTTCGGCTTTGAAACGGAGATGAGCACTGCAACCCTAGAGTCGGATTCGACTGGCTTTCAAGCAAGGGAACCTTTACCTTTACCTTACATATCATTACATTTTTATCCTGTTCTTCCTTGAAAGAACTCAGGGCGGCATACACAATGGTGTTCATGGTGCTCCTGTTTCTCCCGTTATCCTCAAAACAACCTTGTGAGGTAGGTTAAGCTGAGAGCATGTGACTGGCCCAAGGTCACCCAGTGAGCTTCCATGCCAGAGTAGGGATTTGAACGTGGGTCCCCCCAGATTCTAGCCAAATACTCTAACCCACTACACCATGCTGGCTTTTTGCATTGTTTGGCCAACAAACTCTCCTGGTCCCTTCTGACCATGGGGCTCTTAATTTTATCTTGCTCCAGTTATATTGGATTGATAGCATTGTTGGTACTTACCCTTTTCCCCTTAATCAAGCAGTCTTAACTAAAGATGATCAACATTGTGCAATCAACAACTGTGCTCTCCTGACTAGAGGAAGGGAGAACAATGTTGGTAGAATCCTTGGTTTCTGTTTTAACAATCAGAAAGCAAAGCAGCAGGAGGTAGACTCCTGACCCTGAAATTTTAATGGGATTAGAATTTTACTCTTGTCCTAAGACGTTACAGGGAGAAAATCTTATAAACGACAAAACTTAGCCAAAGAAGACCTGTTAGCGCTGTATGCATCCAACTGTACTTTCTTTCCTCCAGTTTTGGACATTGAATGATTAGGTTTTTCAGGCTACACAAAAATAATTGCAGTATAATAAATAATATTGTTAAGCTCTCACCACTTCTCTTAATGGGTGGAAGATCCAGAGGCAGTATTACCTGAGCTTGGGGAAAAGAGTGCATTGGGATTTTATGGCATTTTTGTAAAACTTGCTATATTTTTAAATATACAAGAAGGGGATGGGTGGAGACAAAAAGGCACCCTTACAGAACAGCAGATCCACTTCCCTACATCAGACCCCTCAAAAGAGCAAGATCGTACATCCTCAAGATGCTTCAGCCAACTCACAGGTATTTGTTTCCCTGCACCTGGGCCAAACACAAACTGCTGTTCTTCATGCTCACACACACACACACACACAAACCTACCTCCTTCCCTTCCTGCCCAGTAGCCTAAATTTCTCATCCAGGACCTCACGACTGCATTTCCCCACATCGTTGGTGCCGACATACACCACGACCACTGGCTACTCCCCAGCACTATCTACCAGCCTATCTAAAACACGTAATGTCCGCTACCTTTGCACCAGGCAGGCAAGTCACCATACGGTCAGTACGCTGGTTCGCCACCCAGCTCTCTACTTGCCTAAGGATCGGATCACCAACTACCAAGAGCCCCCCTCCCACCCTGCCCAGGGATGGTTCCTTGGTGCGAAAGGATACCGGTTTACCAGCTGAAGAAGAGGTCCCTTCTGAGGACACATTCCCCTTATCCTCAGCACGGTGCCCTGTTTCCCCTTGACCCTCATGCTCCCTGACAGTGGCGGGGCTGCCAGATCCAGAGTGGGACATATCTAACAAATCCCCGAGAGTTTTCTTCGTGCGCCTGACTGTCTCTGCTTCTCCAGGTCAGCCACTTTGTCCTCAAGGGAGCAAACTCGTTTCCTGAGAACCAGGAGCTCCTTGCACTGAGCACACACCGAAGACTTCTGTCCAGTGGGCAGAGAGTCATACATGTGACACTCTGTGCAAAACACTGGACAGCCCCCAACCCCCTGCTGGCATTCTGGCTTCATAATTGCTTTTAAAATAATTAAATATAATCCCTCTTTTAAAACCCTTTGTAATTATGTGGTTCTCCTTGTCTACTTACCTTACTGGGAATACAAGGAGACTAGGGCCTTGGCTTTCTGGCTCTTCCTGGGCTTCTTACAGAGCCCCTAGTCTAAGAGTCCCTAGTCTAAGAGCCACAGGCTCGTGTCTCTGGCAAAGTGCTGCCTTAAATAGAGGCCTCCCCCAGCAGAGGGCGGAGCAGCAGCTATTCAAATTCAACCAGGCACTTACATTTACATTCAAACAATGACCCTTTCTCACCCTATCTCAAGCAGCCAGAACTCTGCAATAGCTCTAATCCCTTCCACACACTCCCAAACACAGTCCTCCCACACAATACCCTCAGCTAAATCCCCTCAGCTGAAAGCAAGTAAAAAAACACTCACCCCTCTAGCAGCTCTGTCTCCTGCTCCTTCTCAGAGCTCAGCTGGGTCCTTTGGAGGGGGGACTCTATGGCACTATGTTTGGCTGATGCCTCTAACCTGCCCTTCTGACTTCACCACAAAATCTCCAGGAATTTCCCAACCTGGAGCTTGCAATCCTAGCCAGGTCTGGCCCCAACAAGTCCTCCCTCAAAGGCTAAAATAGGCCTGGAAGGGACCCTGCGCCCTCCCCCTGCTTTTTACTCACTGAAACCCAGCCTGGAATACTGTGGTTGCCTAGCAATGGCCACTGAGAGAATCTGTTGCTTAAAGCTACTGGCATTCCTTTTATAATTTTTGAGGCTTTAAACCCCCATTTTTAATTTTTATAGATTTCATATTTTTCTGCAAACCTGGGCCATTGTTCAGGTTTGTAGAAAGATCTGTCTTGCCCATTCACATCTCCATTCACTGGAGTTAAGCATCAAAAGATTTGGCCAACTTCACTATTAGCATATAAATCGAGATACGATAAAACAGAAATATTAGGTTTACTTCCTTTAATATTGAACAAGCAAAGCTCCTCTTTTGTACATAATCCAATTCAAAGATAATATATGTAGCACTTCCAGCATGAACAGTCTGTATTTACAATCAGTGAGATAGGAGGCAAAAACTAAACAAGATGCATCTTCAACTTGTGTATGAAACACAATCCAAAATGTACTATTTACAAAGGTTTCAAAATTTCTTCTGTAAATCAGGAACCAATAAAAAGTGTTCTATTTGCAAAAGGTTTTTGAAATGATGATTTTTGTTATGGTTTAAATATCTGAAATCTTCAGTAATGACTTCATTCAGTTTCATGTGGCTTTAAATTCATTCCAGTAGTAAAGCAGATGCAGCTTGCCTGTAGTCTAGTTTGGAATCTGATGTAATTGCAGGCAAAGGAAATCTAAGCAGGAAATCCTAGCTCCATGTTCCTGAATAGAGAATCAGTCTGATAGGTGGTATTCATCTATTTCCCAGTGTTCATATACACAAACATTACAGACATGAAATGTTCTTCACTCTGGCATAAAATGTGTGCAGAGTATTAGTGAGCAAGAACACGTTAAAGTTTTTATGGATGTCGGCTGGCACAGACATTGTGGACTGAAAATAAAATATAATTCATTCCACTGTTCTTTTAGGCACAGTTAATCATCAATTCCTGGTGTTTCACCTTGTTGTATTCTAGAAGCTATTCTAATGGCTTCTTCCAAAGACTGCTGTTCTCCAAGCTGAAACAATAACAAAAAAAACCAATATTGAAAATATATGCACTGAAAAATATTTTTTGGTTTTATTTTTATTTATTTATTCAATTTATATCCCGCCCTCCCCGCCAAAGCAGGCTCAGGGCAGCTTACAAAAGATAAAACATAAAACAATTGTAACATAAATAAGACCATCTAAAAACAATCCGATATCTTAATTAGTTGTAAACTAATACTTAAGGATGGTGGCAACGGTTATGTTAATAATCTATAGTCTGCCCTGGCCCTGGTTGTTACCAATCACACCTCTTTAGGACCCGGAAGGGTCAATCGATTTTGCGACCCTGAACACAGTGCTCACTGGGGTACATTTGGGGAAAGGTGTTGGGCCCAGACCATATAGGGCTTTAAAGATGAGAACCAGCACCTTGAAGTAAATTCAGTATGCTATCGGCAGCCAGTGCAGTGCCTTTAGCACAGGCTGGATGTGCTCCCGCATAGGGAGACCCATAAAGAGCCTGGCCGCTGCATTTTGCACTAGCTGCAGCTTCTGGATTTGTGACAAGGCCAGCTCCATGTAGAGAGCGTTACAGTAGTCCAGTCTCGAGTTGACCATCGCGTGGATCACTGTTGCCAAGTCGCTGCGGTCGAGGAAGGGAACCAGCTGCCTGATCAGCTGAAGGTGGTGGAAGGCTGACTTGACAGTGGCTGCTACCTGGGCGTCCATTGTTAGGGAGGCATCCAAGAGCACTCTCAAGCTCCTAAACTCCGGCGCTAGCACCAGCAGTGTCCCATCAAAGATCCCTACCCTCAGACTGCCCCGACTCAGGCACAGGACCTCCATCTTCATCGGATTCAGTTTCAGTCAGCTCAGTCTAAGTAATCCAGCCACAGCTTGTAACGCCCGGTCCAGTTATTTCAGCTTAGAGTCAGACTGGCCACCCAACAGCAGATAGAGCTGGGTGTCGTCCGCATATGGTGATGACCCAGCCCATGCCTCTCGGCAATCTGGGCAAGGGGGCGCATATAGATGTTAAATAACATTGGGGAAAGCACTGCCCCTTGAGACACTCCACGATTCAGTGGGTGCTTTCAGGACAGCTGCTCCCCTAGCGCCATCCTTTGCCCCTGACCTTGAAGAAAGGAGGCAAGCCATTGTGAGGCAGACCCCTGAACTCCCATGTCGGCAAGGCGGTGGATCAGTAATTGATGGTCGACTGTGTCAAACACTGCCAACAGGTCCAACAACAACAGCACTGCCGATCCGCCCTGATGCCTCCGGAGGTCATCCGTGAGGGTGACCAGGGCTGTCTCCGTCCCATGGTGAAAACCGGACTGGAAGGGGTCTAAAATGGAAGCGTCATCCAAAAAGCTCTGTAGCTGCATTGCCACAGCCCTCTCTGTTATATTGCCCAAATAGGGGAAATTGGAGACCGGCCAGTAATTTTCCAATTTGGCCAGCTTTAATTAGCCATGATGGACACTGGTCTAGACGGCATGTGGTTGGGCAAACAGCCAAGAGCAATTTGTCGACTTCCTCTAGGCTGAGCGGACTGAAAAGATCTATAATCCGACTTGAAAACGTGAATGGAGCCTCGAGTTTGCTCATGTGGCGGGGAGGTCGCGGCAGAGTGACAAGACTTTATCTGTGAAGTAGCTCGCAAAAGCCTCACAGCTGATATCCAATTCCCTAGCATTTGGCCTGCCTTGTGGCAGAGCAGTCAGGGACCGAATTGTTCTAAATAATTGGGCTGGGCGTGAGCTCGCAGATGCAATCATAGCTGCATAAAATTCACGCTTAGCAGCTTTGACTGCCATCTCATAGGATTTGAAGCAGATAATATAAATTACGTTTTGTGCACCATATTTAGTCAACTAGCTTAGACATACAAGGAAGAAAAGTATGTTATCAATCATATTTTTATATATGTAGCTATAATAGCAAGTGAACAGCATGGGCTACTTTAAAAAAATGATTTTTGAACCCCCATCAGTTTCAGAAGCTGTTTGCTATAAAGCATAGGGCATTAATTGCTGTCTGAGAAATACACATCCAAGGCTCCCTCAAGTATGCTGTAGTAATTGCAGTCTTTTGGATTCTGGACATTACCAGTATATCTTCTCTTGTTATTAGTAGCAATATTTAAGCAATTGGACAGTGATTAAAATAAGTCTGGCAGAGGTTAGCTGCAGATGAGATGGATCATAATGCATGATCTACATACATGTTAAATAATTACATACTGATACCATTCATTTTCTCCAGTTGCTTATTTCAAGTCACTAGTTCTTTGAAAACTGTGGTACTGAGCCTATCTCAAGCAGATGGAATGTAACAGTCATTATTTCGGACTGAAATAATATAGACACTACCACTGTTCCCTCTAAGCTGAGTTAGTGTGAGCTAGCTCACAGTTTTTTAGCCTCTGGCTCACATTTTTGTCTCAGCTCAGGAAGGAGGGCTCCAGTGCAAACTAATTTATGCAGCAGCCAAATGGCTCGCTCACAACTTCAATGCCAGCAGCTCACAAAGTAGGATTTTTGCTCACAGGACTCCACAGCTTAGAGGGAACATTGGACACTACCCATTAAAAGGTTGAAGCCAACAATGATATCTTGGTGATATAGGACGAAATATAGAATTAAAAGAGTGGTTTAAAGTGTGGACGAGAAATATTAAATATGTTAAAGCAAGTAATTTTAAGGAAAATTTATTGAACATGTTCTACAGGTGGCATATTACGCCAGATAGACTTCATAAAATTATCAAAAACCTATCGAAAAACTGTTGGAAGTGTAAGACTAATACAGGCACTTTTTACCATATATGGTGGACATGCAAAAAAGCTTAAAAATATTGGAAAACTATTAAAGAGATAATTGAAGAAATTTTGGGAAGTGCAAAACAAACCAGAAATATTTTTGTTAAGTCTTATGCCAGACACGTATAATAGAACAGAAATGTATTTAATCATGCATTTATTGACTGCAGCAAAATTACTTTTCGCAAAATATTGGAAAGATGAAAATATACCAACAAAAGAGGAATATATAAGGAAAATCTTATAGGTCGCAGAAATGGAAAAATTGGTATTTGCCATTCAAGATAAAAATGAAAAGGAGTTTGAGAAATATTGGAAAAAATTGTACGAATGGTTATAAAAATATAAAGACGTTGAATAATATGGTATCACTTGATGTAGTAAAAAAAAGGAAGATTATCTGTGAAATTTATGTTGTAATAGAAGTATGTAAGGTTTTTGGTTTATATTTCAAACAAATAAGAAAATACATTTGCAAAAAAAAAAAAAGGTTGAAAGGTGATAAAAGGGAGACCACAAGGAGTACTTGACTAAAGATTACTGGGCAATATACTTTTGTCATCAGTTATTGCTAGAAATGAACTGTACTCTTGTAAAGAAACACATAAGAATCCTTAATAGTTTTTTTCTTATACTTCTAGAATGTTTAAAATAATGTTACTGCAATATAGGGAAACCTCTAATTTAAGAACATGCTAAAGTTAAAGTACCATGTTATACTGGTTGCTGTAGATTTTGTGGTCTTGGCATTGTAGGACCTGACGTTTTGCCAGTAACTGTGACTGGCATCCTCAGAGGTATAACACAGAAAGATGGAGTACTCTCTGTGTCAAAGTGAGAGATATATTACACGGAGAGTACTCCCATCTTTCTGTGTTAAACCTCTGAGGATGCCAGTCACAGTTACTGGCAAAACGTCAGGTCCTACAATGCCAAGACCACGGGCACACAACCCGGAAAATCTACAGCAACTAATGAACTCCGGCCGTAAAAGCCTTCGACAACATACCATGTTATAACTTAAAAAAACCTTTAGAAGCATGCTTTTACATTACTGTACTGATTTACTGTACCACATCCTTCTAAGCCTATCGACTTCAATGGAGTTAGAAGGCTGTAATTCTGCTTAGGTATCTGACAAAGGGAGCTTTGCCTCTCAAAAGTTCATACCCCCCCAAATCTTGTTGGTTTCTAAGATACTACGGGACTGAAATCTAGCTGCTCTACTGCAGATCAACATGGCTGTCCTTTGAAACTATCTGCTGGCGATGGTACCGTTGGGTTGCAACCCTAAGGCTATGGACAACAACTGACCCCCTAAATTGATATCTCGTAGAGACACGCTGGTGCAGTATCTCACCGACGCTTCACTGATGTAAACCCCCCCCAATACCAGGAAAGCTGTACCACTGTAGGGGAAATAAAAGGGCATCCTGGGGAAGGGGTGGGATGTTGCATCCTATGCTCCCTCAGCCTGCATCCTGCTTTCAGTGCTGGGGTAAAGTTATGGGGACAGAGGGAAGTTCCTGTGGAAGAGCTCCAGCTGCAGGCTCCTTAGGGTCAGCCTCAGGAACATATATGGCCAGGGCATCTGCCATGTGAAGGTCTCCTGGAGTTCCCTGCTCTCCATCAGGCCATGTTTCTGGCTCCTAGGACTCCTCATTTGAGTCCAGAGCCAGCTCACTGGGGGTCCTGACACTAATTATATTGCACAGTGTCCTGACACACAGGGACATGATGCTCAGATGCCTTTAGCTGATTTATCCCAACCTTAAGACTGCACTAGAACAGACCATAGTGATTGTCAGCAAGAGCAAAAGTGCAGTCCCACAGACCATGTCATGTAATGTTTATACAGATAACTATACTCAAAAAGAAATATACATGATCATATTGCAAATCAAGCACACATAACTGGGAGCAGAAGCATAGACTTAAATATTGAAAAAATGAAACAGCTGAATTTTAACAAACCTCACGCTACCAAAACTATTTTTTCTACTTACCTGCACTGCAATCTGTGTTCCATTGGATGTAGCCAGCAACGTAACAGGTCTAGATTCTGCGGTAACTAAATGATGCCCATGTTGTTGATGTCCAATTTCTGGTGAAGCACTATGGAAGGCTGCTAAATCTTGAGCCACAATGGCAACCTTCATAATAAACACACAAAGCTACATATTGAAAATCTAAACCTTCAAAAATATATGTTTATAGGCCACCAGAGAAGCTTTGAGATAAGAAAAAAATATACACTAGGAATAAGGCCCGTTGTGGAAATAAATACAACAATCTCTAGAAAGAGGCTCTGGGAGAGTGCCAAGGCCTTGGGCACTCAGTGCCAATGTGCTGTGGCGACCTCAGCAGGGTATAATGACACAGAGTCCACCATTTTCTCCAGAGGAACTGATCTCTGCTACCTGAAGAGCAGTTGTAATTTTGAGTGATCGCCAGCCCTCACCTGGAGATTGGCAACAATTGTTACCCAGGAGGAAATGGCTGGTTTGGAGGGTGGAGTGTATGGCATTGTACCTGCCTGAGGTCCCACCCCTCCTCAAACCTCACCTCCAGGTTCCACCCCTCAAATCTCCAGGAATTTCCCACCTGGAGTTGGCAACTGCAGCCTCTACCATGCTCTGAAGCCCTGACTGCTACGTCACATTGGCTGTCATAGGAGAGCCATCTCATTAGGGTATAAGGACACAGAGTCCACCATTTTCTCCAGGGGAATTGATCTCTGCCATCTGGAGAGCAGTTGTAATTCTGAGTGATCTCCAGCCCTCACCTGGAGATTGGCAACAATGGTTTCCCAGGAGGAAAAGAAGTCTTTCTCTGCAATGGGGAACAAAGCAGCTTACTTCATTGTCCTCACCCCCTTTTGACTTGCACAACAACCCTGTGAGGTAGGTTAGGCTGAAAGTCTGTGTCTGGTCCAAAATCACCCACTCAGCTTCGACAGCAAGAACCTGGATCTAGCAGACCCTGCTCTGAAGCACTGACTGCTATGCCTAGGGTAGCCAACCTCCAGGTGGAGGCTGAAGATCACCAGGTATCACAACTGAACTCCAGACAACAGATCTCTCCCCCTCCCCAGAAAAAATAACTGCTTTGGAAGGTGGGCTGTATGGCATTCTGTTCAGCTGAGGCCTCTCCCCTCCCCAAACCCTGGCTTCCATAGACTCTACCAGAAAATCTCCAGGAATCTCCCTACCTGGAGCTGGCAACCCTAGACTCAGGACTGGCCCCAATGAGTTCCTTACAAAGGCCTGCAGAGGGTTTCCTTCCTTTGTCTGAACCAAGCTTGGTTGCCTACTGTGGTGAAACAGGCTCCAGTTTACAACTCAGCTGTTCACCTCCCACCCTTGTCCTGTGGGCGTATCTCACTCCTTAAGTTCACTGCCTCCACTCACAGAATCGTCACTGCCTTTTTAGAGGGACAGTGAGACCCTTCTGGCCAAATTTCCCTATTTGGAGATGGGATCCCTGGAAAGTTGGCAACCCAAG